AAATTTGGAGGTGAAAAAAAGTGAATAGCTGAATTTTGTTTTCAGTTGCAACATTTTGTTCAGTTTGCGTCATGACTGTACCCCTTGCGTCATTTTCAGCAGCAAGACTCTACGGGATGTGCAGTCCACCAGCACAGAGAGGCGTCAGGCACAAAGGGAAGGCTGTATGCTTACTTCTCTCAAGACACTGAACATTTTAATTTCTAGGAGGGAGCATCCCACTCAGGAGAGCCCATCAGTTCGCACATATGTAATCCCATTTTTTAAAAAGCATTTTACAGTGGTCATTTAATGGCCTCCTGATTACTGCAAGGCACCACGTTGGACTCTAAAGCCATTCAAGGCCAACAATGGGGGATTTTCTAAACAATTAACAGGCAACAACATCATAAAGCCATTTACAAAGCCGAGCCTATTTATTAGAAATTAGGTGCTCTTTAAGACACCAGTAAGTCATTTCACACAACTTTACAGCCTTCATACATAAACAAGCTTTGCTGTTTTCTTGGTAAACCGCCCTGGACCTCCAAGACCTTTCTACTGTAAAGGGTGCAATGTGCAAAGCATAACTCAGCCCCTTCTGTGTGTTATATATTAATTATTACCATTGCCTTTAATTCGCAGCAGTGAGAAAAGGACACAGACACTTGCATATGTCACTGATTAAGACAAGGGTCCTGAATTACTTTCAGTCCCTTTTATACTTGCATTTGTTCACATGGACAATGTTTATGTTATTCTCTTACTGGTGCATAATGGTCCTTTTTTTTTAATTACCTTTTTATGGACTAATCAGACCTGATCATGCCAGAAAGCAATGTCATTGGATTCTATTGGGTAGCAGTGTTTCAAGCACCATTGCTGCACTTTTTTATGCATCAGTATCTAGCTGTCTACAGTGGAGGAAGGGTTGCTGGGCTAAATGTAAAGATCAGCCCTTTAGTAAAGTAGCCACCATCACCCCTATTATCTCTGGCAGAGACTCTCTACATCCGGGGTTTACATAGTCAATGCTGTCCTTTACTCACCACCTGCATTTACACATCGTGATTGTAAAAACAAAAGGTGCAGAGCCGATAGATTGGAAGAAAATAAGAAAGGAAATAGTAGCTGTGGGGACAAGCAGTGCTTGGTGATGGGCAGGAAGAGAGTAACCATGTTTGTAATGAAACAGACGGTGTGTATACAGCTTGTCATACTCTTCCTCTATCGGCCCTCTATATCAAATCATAAGCAGGCTGCAGAATGCAGAGGGGAGAAGGGAGGTATGTGATGGACAGGATATTAGACTTTATCAGAGAGGATACATAGGAGAGAGCAGCCAGCATTCCAGGGCCAAGCCAGGGTTGTTTTCCTTTGTATGACTAAAGCTGCTGCTGGGGAAGGGGAGATGGAGCAAGCAATAGCTATCTGCCCTGTAGCGGACACACATTTTTTTTTCTCGGGCCTTTTAAAGCTGGGGAATCGGAAAAGGAAAGAGACAGAGAGGCCTAGTCATAGGGAAATCATTCTATGTCAGGGCTCTGATCACCTACATACATCCACAAATCATCCACCAGGATGGTGTTCCAGCTATGACATTGTATCTAAAGAAATCATACCTAAAACCTGTTATTTTTTTTCATTTTTATTCCCACTAATTTTATCTTACAATTTAAAGGCTTGTGTTTTATTGTCCCCAATTTCAAGCTTCTTGACAGATGGTAAACTACAGGTCCCAGCCAATCTCTGGGGATCAGCACAGACCCTGCTGCATAATGCTCAGGTGTGTACACCAATAATGTGGGTGTGCCTTCACCTCCCTCCCCTTGTCATCTGTCTACAATTCACAGGTAACCATTAGAAAGGGTTGTATGACAAGAGCAGCTCTAAAGTCTGTTAATAGCACATAGTAGCGGTTCACAGCCAGACTGAACATTTATCCTGGCCACCATGGATATTGCAAGGTACAATATACCGATTATACATTAGCACTAATGCAAAGAGGCAAACAGCACCTATGAAATATTCGGTTATAGAGAGGGTTTATACTTATGGATGGATGGATGGATAGATAGATAGATAGACAGATGGATAGATAGATAGATAGATAGATAGATAGATAGATAGATAGATAGATAGATAGATAGATAGAGATAGATAGATAGAGATAGATAGAGATATAGATAGATAGATAGATAGATAGATAGATAGATAGATAGATAGAAAGAAAGAAAGAAAGAAAGAAAGAAAGAAAGAAAGAAAGAAAGAAAGAAAGAAAGAAAAACAATAAGTCACGTACAAGTGCCTCATATTGTGTGGCAGCATCTAACTGTATCTATCATCCTATTCTATGTATCCTATACATTGATACATTGTTTGGTAAAAGCATCTTAGTACAATATATGTAAATAATAAACTGAAACATTGTTTCCCTGCCTTGGAATTCTGTATTCTCCACAAAGACAAAAAAAAACCCTAGAAATGGATACATCTACAAAGACCAATTTTTTTTCTTTCTTAGGTGGGAAATGATAATTTGGGAGAACATCTCTCTCTCTCTCTCTCTCTCTCTCTCTCTCTCTCTCTATCTCTCTCTCCCTCTCTCTCT